AAAAAGATGTGCAATGTCGCCAATTAAAAATTTTTATTATGTTATTTCCACTATCATTTAATCTCTAATTCAAATCAATCTAATTCATAATTATATTCTATATTGAAATTGAAGTTAACTAATCTTCATTTCATCATTTTTATAATAATCATCTTTATTTAATTTGTCTAGCATGAATAATGACCTTGATTAACTTTTCTTATTTTTGTTGTTCTTTGATTTAAATTTTAAATTTTTTTTAGTATTATAGAATTATAATTGTTATTGCAATTAGTTTAAAAAATTTTCTAAGTCAATTCTTTTGGTTTATTGTTTGACATATTTCATTTCAATTTCAACTTCCCTTTTTGTTGTTGTCAAAAGTGGGAGTAATAATATTATTTGCTTATATTTGTGGATTTGTATTTTTGTGTTCGTATTTTGTGTTTAATAACATTGTTTGCTTGATGTTTATTGATTTGTATTTTTTGTGTTTGTATTTTGTGTTTAATAATATGGTTTGCTTGATGTTTGTTGATTTCTATTTTTGTGTTAATATTTTGTGTTTAATAACATTGTATGCTTGATGTTTGTTGATTTGTATTTTTGTGTTCGTATTTTGTGCTTGTACTTTTGTATTTTTGTTGTCTTTTTATTATTTTTGTTTTTACAGTTTTTTTATCTTCATGAGAATCCCTATATTCAAATATGTTCATTCATTTAGGGGGAGCTAAGGATAAATTTAGGGTTTAAATGTTAACTCAAACAATAATTATTTTGCCATCATCAAAATTGGGAGATTGTTGCATCTTAATTTTCATAACTATGTTTTTCATATCATGTGTCTTTTTTATGATTCTAAATATTATTATTTTCTTTACTCTTTCTCCTAACATATATTGGATATATTGCTTTTGTTATTTATGTGTATTAATATTTCAAGAAAATCATACTCTAGATTATAGAAGACTTTAAATCAGATTAGAATAGGGGTTCATTGTAACTGGAGTCTATATTTTTTATTTTTATTGAGTCTGAGAGTGTATGATTGTAATTGAGTAAGCATGCACATACACACTAGGGGAGTGTTAAAAATTTATAACTTTTTAAACTAATCATACAGTACGATTTACATTCATATGGAACGATTTATTCAGTTATTTCCTTCAGCAAGTAGATATGCGAACCAGATGAAGAAAATTAAGTACTGTTCGTACTGTAAGAAGAGACCTTCATATAGATAACGCTCAGAGTATGAAATAGATACGTACAAGTTCGTTCCGACAATCATCAAAAATTTCCTGAACTATTCGTACTATATGATCTCATTATCGTACATACAACGTCCAGAGTACGAAATAGATACGCACAAGTTCATCCCGACGATCGTTAAATTTTTTTGAACTAATCGTACTGTATGAAGTGCCCTTCATACACATAATGTCCATAGTACGAAAAGAATGAGTCCCTTTTTGTCCCGACATACATTAAATTTTTTCTGAGCTGTTCATACAATACGATCTTATGTTCGTGCAGACGACGTCCAGAGCACGGAAAGAATGGGTCATTTTTCATCCTAACAAATATCACAATTTTCCTGAATTGTTCGTTCTCTACGATTTCATGTTCGTATATATGATGTCCAAAGAATGAAATTGTGTGGTATCTTTTTGTCCTGACGAATCAAAAAAATTTCTGAATAGTTAGTACGTTACGATCATCGTGTACGAAAATGGTTCGTATAGGTTAGTACGAGCAAATTTTAAAATGTTCGTACGTATGATTATTGATCATACTGTATAATCGTGGACTCTCAAAATTGAATTTTTCAATTTTCTGGATGATTTTTCGTGTCTTTCATATAAAAGGTCCTTAGAAACTGACTTGAACGAATATAATCTTCATGATTTCTTAGAGAGCAAGTGAAAGTGTGATTTGGGAGAGTGTTTGAGAGAGAGTTCTTGCAAGTAGAGTGTAAAGGATTCACAAGGCTACTCAAACGTAAGAATCTCTTTTGTTTTTTTGTCAATTCTCTTTCTTTCTTCTTTCTAATTGCTCGAGAAAAGATCTTTGGAGAAGAATCGGTACTCTGTCAATACTTGAAGAGTGTGAAAGGATGATGATATTCTGCCGATACTTAGAGGGTATGAAAGGACGATGATACTCTGCCGACACTTGGAGGGTGTGAAAGAACGATGGTACTCTGCCGACACTTGGAGGGTATGAAAGGATGAAGGTAATCTGCAGACACTTGGAGGGTATGAAAGGACAACAGTACTCTGTCGACACTTGGAGGGTGTGAAAGGATGACGGTACTCTGCTACACCAGGGATTGGTGGAAGAGAAGAAAATTGTAAGGCTTCTCCGCCTTACTGTGGGGGTAAAAGGAGAGTCACTTTGGTAATAGTGCAACACCTGAAGAAGGAATCTTTAGGGAGTGGATGTAGGTCTTGTTGGACGTAACCACTATAAACCTTTATGTTCTTTTTATTTCCTCATTTGATTTTCTGCAATTTGCAGTTATGGTTGAAAAGTATATTTTAAAGAAAATCAAATTATTTTAAAATTATTAAACATTATTTCTAAAAATGGCCAAGAGTTTTTAAAATAACCAATTCACCCCCCTTTTGATTAGCCTTTGGACAATTGTGTAGGTTTAACAACCTATGTGGACTTTTCAAACTCTTGCAAAGGTGAGCCTAAATTTTGTAAAAACTAGATATTTGACCACAAGAGGAAACCCAATATAACTAGTTATTTTTTAAATTCTAGAAAGATTCCATCAACTAAGAGGGATATCTATGATTTTAATCCAAAGAGGAAAGGAATTAAACTCTTCTCTTTTTTGTTTCAATTTAGAAGGAAACTTAGATAAAATAAAAAGGTTCCCTAGAGAATACCAAGGTCCTCTTGGCTAAGCTAGGTAATAATCTTAGGTGTGGAGAATTTCAGTAAAAAGAAGTCATTGTTTAAGGAGAGGAGAGTGAGAGTACCTTTAAGCACCCATGACTATTAGATGGAATTGAATAAATCTTCATAATATGGTCTCTTACGAATGGAGTAGCCAACTAGAGATAGCTCCCACATTTCGATCCTCTCTAAGTTTCCTTCTCAGAGAAGTTTATAGTAATGGACTGAGGTTTGATGAAATTGATAAGCTATTAGCAATTTGGGTTTTGGAAGATAAAAGCTTTTTCCAATCTATAATTTGTGATTCAACAACTTGTGGATTTTTGGGTTAAAAGTAAGGGCTTGTTGAAGGGGCTTTCTTATGAGGAGGTTGAGGAGAGAGGGACATATTTCAAGAGATAGTAAATAGATGAAGAGGGAGGTCATCCGACATAGCCGCGTGGGGGGGGGGGGAGAGAGAGAGAGAGAGAGAGAGAGAGAAGGCCATTAGGGTAAAAACTTTTCTCACTCTACCAAGAAGGATATAAAAGTTTAATAATACTATGGATTTTAAATGTAAAAAATTTCTCCTAATTTTTTGGATACTTCTCACAATTCAATTCTACATAACATGAGGGCTTAAGTTGGAATAATGGGACGATCCATACAAATCCACATTGACATCATGTGCATTTCTGGGCCCGTAGGGTCCTAGGCGTCTATATATCTATTCTCATTTTTTTTGCAAACTATGTAGTGAAGCGTGCAAGCATACTTCATCTAGCCTTGAGCTTCTCTTATAGCAAATACCAATAAATGCTAAGGTGTAGGTGGTGATCTATTAATGGTTTATGAGGTTGCGAGGTGCACATAGTTCATCTTCTAATGACAATTACAAATGAAATTCATATCGCTTATATGTGATTCTCACTACAATCTCACACAGTGCCCTAAATGACTTGAGCCGAGCTCGAGTTACCATTTGCTTGAGCTTGGTTAATTAATCAAGTTCGAGCTCGAGCTTTATTCTATAAGTTCAACCCAACTCACGGGCGATTCATTTTTTACGAAAGAGTAAAAAAGATTATGATAAATTGAGTAGAAGATAAATTGTAAATATTTTTTTTGGGAACATTCGAGTAAATTAAGATAAATTCATATATATTATACATACATAATCTTCATGTCGATGAACTCTTATATTTCATTTGGGACGTCTTTCTTGTTGCTTTTTAAAATAAAGTTTAGCATAAAAATAAAAAATTTTATATTAAAAAATTATTTTAAAAAGTAATAAAAAAATTGTCATGATGAAATTGGTTTAAGGGATAGTATATCATAGATAGGGGTGTTAAAAACTGACCCGACCCGAAAAATTCGGGTTCGGGTCTAACCCGTTTAAGAAACAGGTCGGGTTCAGGTCTAATTTTTTGACCTGTTTAGAATTCGGGTAGGGTTCGGGTTGACCCGAAAACCCAAAATCAACCCACAGTTGACCCGGATCCGGGTCCGCAGTCTCCTAGCCCGCCTAACTGCAGTTTTGACTTTCAAAGTTCAAACCGAAATCTCCTAGCGGCTAGCCTTTCCGCCTTCTATCAATTTCGTGCCAGGAGGCTCCTAGCCTGCCTAATTGAGTAACTGCATCGATCTGGCCGCCTCACCTCACCACACGTCACGACTCACGAGTGATGCGCCGGGTTTCACCCACAGTTGCCGGACTCCCATGCCGTACGCCTCACTCGGCAGCGGACGGCGGCAAGCGGCTTGCCCACTTCAACTCCACTGTTCGTCGTCCGCGTGATTCACTCGACCTCGCCAGTCGCTCGCCAGTCGCCTCGCCCAAGTCGCAGACCCTATATGCTCGGCCTTCGCCCACGAGGCCAGACTCCCAAGCCCATGACGAGACTCAGAACTGCGCCCGCCGGGTTCACGGGTCGAGTCGGGTCAACCCGACCACCCGTGCGGATCAGGTCCGGGTTATAAATTTTGACCCATTTAGCTAAACGGGTCGGATTCAGATCAACCCGTTTATGTCAGGTTCAACTTGAATTGAACCCGAACCCGACCTATTGACCCAATATAGAGAGTTGGTGGAACTATAATTTTGTTGCGAAGGAACAACAGATAGCTTCGGGCCGAACAAATCCCCGCCACTCATTTGCGGCTTGCTTGGGAAATGTAAAGAAAAGGTTCGCAGCCGATATTTTTGCTGACGAGAAGAAGCACCCTGACGCTTTATTCCAAACATTTGGATTCGGGTTTCTTGATTATCTCGTATTCCCTTCTTCTGTAGCCTTCTCCCCCTTCTTTGGTTGTTTGCTATGAGAGAGGTATAGCTCCATTTTGCTTCTAGTTATACGATATTTTACCCGTTTTTTTATTTCCCCGATGAATTATTGTTTTTTATACAGCTGCAGATGTCTTGTAGTCCAGAACTTCTTGTGCTCTTTCAAATTTTGTTGATTAGCTACTTATAAGACTGTTGTAGATTGTTCGATGCCTGAAGGGAGCTTGCGAGAAGTCCATATTTTCTATATGATTTTTTTTATCAGTTTTTAATGCTGCTAAGAAACCAGTAATAAATAAGCTTAGTAGAATACTGACTTGGAGCTGGTCGATCTGCAGTTTTGATTAGTTTTTATGAGAAACATTCGCTGGTTGACATTAGGGTGCAAAGCTATGTATTTTGAAAATCCGATTAGTCTCATTTATTAAGCGCTACTCTCTACATCTGTCTAATTGCCTAGGTAAGTTTTTCTTTAATATTTTATTAGTAAATGGCATCATCGTCATATGGATTTTCTCTATTTCAATTTGAACAGAAACCATGGAAACTTCTTATTGGCTTGCTGACATAATTGAGCATCTTGAAACTTCCATGCTTTCAGGTAATAATCATTCTAATTGATGATGCTAGGAGTTCTGTAGCAAACCTATGAATGTTTAATTCTAGAATTGTGGGCTTAGAAAGAGTCTAACAATATTCCTATATTAGAATAGAGATCAATGGATGGCAAAAACCATCAAATCCTAACTCAGGGCTCATGAGAATCATTGGAAGATAGATTAGAATATGCATCCCAAAGATTTTTCTTGTATGATATAGGGGGTTGGGGTTTACTATTGGCAAAAGTCTCTATGGTTAATTAGGTCTTATAAAGTCTTTTCTTGTGAACATGATGATTGTGGTGCCTAGTATGCTTCATATTATGTGTTTATAAGTATTTGAATTTTTCATTATAGTATTCTTGGAGAACATATCAATATTTACTTTCAAAATAAGATATTTTCTTTGTAACTTAGTGCAAAGAGTGGATTATTGACTGCTAAAAGCCTCCAAGGTAGGATTTATTGGGATTATGCTCTCAAATATCTAGAAAGTCTTTTCTTGTGAACATGATGAGTGTGGTTCCTAGTATGCTTCATATTATGTTTTTATAAGTGTTTGAATTTTTCATTATAGTATTCTTGGAGAACATATCAATATTTACTTTCAAAATAAGATATTTTTTTTGTAACTTAGTGCAAAGAGTGGATTATTTACTGCTAAAAAGTCTCCAAGGTAGGATTTATTGGACTATGTTCTCAAATATCGATAAAGTCTTTTCTTGTGAACATGATGAGTGTTGTGCCTAGTATGCTTCATATTATGTGTTTATAAGTGTTTGAGTTTTTCATTATAGTATTCTTGGAGAACATATCGATATTTACTTTCAAAATAAGATATTTTCTTTGTAACTCAGTGCAAAGAGTGGATTATTGACTGTAAAAAGTCTCCAAGGTAGGATTCTTTGGGTTTATGTTGACTCTAACTTAGGCTATTTTATTGAGAGGGGGTCCATGTTGACTTCCCTTGGAGATAGAATGGTCATGTAATTTCTTAGAATACATCCAACTTCCAGCGAATCTGCTACGTCAAACTTTAGTCAGCTAAATGTCAATCATATCAAGTGCTAGTTGACTTAGGGATGATCTAGGTTCTCGAATACTTGCGAGGTAAAGGATTGAGAAAAAAATTCTGAAATTAAAGGTGTTAATTGGTTACCCTAAAGAGTTAACGACTTTCCATAAAAGGGTTAACTTGCCTTGAAATGTTTAATGAGTCGCCACAAATCATAGCATCACTCTGCTAATTAATAGACTAAAAGGGTTATCAAGCTAAAGGAAGGAATGGGGTGGTGCCTGAGGCTTTACGAAAATGGAGGTGGAGAAACAAGAGTTAGAAAGGGGTGCGGGTTGAGCTAATACCATTGAAAAGTAAATCTAGGTCAGTGTTTTTTAGCTCACAAGAACCTCATACTTTTTCCTTTAGAAACAACATCAAATCTTATTTTGTTTAAGCATCCATATTTACAAGATGGTGCATCCTCCTTTGCAGTATGCTTGACATGTTGTGAATCAACAAACCTAATTTAGGCTTTATTTTTTATTTTGGTCTAATATCTGTTTGGAACTGCGCTTAAGAGCTGCACTTTCTTTCAAAATCCAAGGCTTAACAGAAAATTTCCCTGCACTGCCACATGCCTTGGCGATGTTGACAGGCTCACTGCATTTCCACTGTGAAGTTTGAATGTATTAGGAAGTCACATGATTAATCACTAATATTGTAATTGTAAGCACTTACCAAACTAATGAGATATTGACACCTGTTTTCTCTATTTTAGTATTTTCTGCACCTTTTTTTTTATTTTTCATTGGTATCAGTCATTTTACATAAAATAGTAATATTTAGGGAAAGGAAGCAGCTTGCACACTTATATATGTTTGTGAGAGATTGATATTATTGATATTTGATACAAAATTTGTGTAGGCTTTGATACTGGAAGTTCAACTTCAAAGAAAATATACTTTGATTTTAAATGCTTCATCTTTGAAAAAGCTTTTCTTGTAATTGTTATGTAGCACTCCACTTCATACCCTCTTTGGCGGCATAGTATCATATCTTAGTAAGTAACGCTTCACTTCCCAAATAAATCCAGAAATAGATTAGGATTTTACCGATTCTTGTGCTGAAAGCTTTATATAAGGCCCTTTTCTTTTTTATTGGGTCTTATAAGATGCGAACATGGGGAATGGGAATCAAGAAAATACCATTTTATGTGGATTTATTTGGAGAGTGAAGGCTCGTAGAATTACTCATTTTCACTTTAGTAACTGCTGAATGAGTGTGTTCCATAATATTCCTGAACTTCTGACGTTCTACTCATGGGTTTCACTGAACAATCGTTAGAGCTTTTTTTTAAATAAAAATAGCTTTTGGTTTTATTCCCAGGCCTTAGGAGAATGATAAAGGGATTTGATTTCAGGGCATGATGAGTGTTCTATTACAACATCCTCAAAATTTGTTGCTTCAGGGTCATGAGAGTTTCTTGAAGACCAGACTAACTAAGGTGCAGGGTTTGGGATCTTCAGGTGTAGAGTTTCCGTCCAGAGGAACACCTACTCAAACCAGACTGTCATTCAAGTTGCGTGGAAGAAATTCACGAGAACGGCTAGTTTCTGTACATGTAGTTCCTGATGATGCAGAAGGTAACAGCTTAGATGATGAAAGTCTAGATGAAGAGGAAACATCGCCTAATGAATGTAAGGAGGTACCAGGTGGTTTATCACGTGAGGACTTGGAAAGGATTGTTGGGCAAGATGAATCTGCATTTAGTGGAGTAGATCTTGCAAGGCTTATCAGGAATAAATATGGAAGATCTTATGATGTTCAACTTATAAAGAAGGTAATTTTTTAATTGTGTAGTTTCTTTCTTTGTTTTTATGCAGCCCTTGTAATGCTAAAATTCACTTTTATTTCTATTTGCAATTAGCCTATCAGTTTTGGGTAATGTGTAAGAATTTCCCAACTTAGTTACGTTCCATTTGTAAGAAATGTAGTCATCTTGAATGAAATCTTGATAGTTAGTTAAAAGGAAAATAGTGTAAGTTCTTTTGATATTTTTGGGAAAATAGCTACATGATTCAATCTCTAATAGTGCTCTGATGCTTTTGCGAAAATAGTTGCATGATTAAATCACTGATAAAGCACATGATGACATTAAGGTTGCTCATTATTAGATGGAATTGGAAATACAATCATTTATAATTCTACATTTTCGTTATTTCTCATTCTATAATGGGAGGTAATTATAATAGATCTTAATATAGGTGTTAATACAACTTCATATTATTTTTCATTCACATAATCATATATTTGTGTTCTTGCAGGTGAATAGATGACAAAGAAGAATTATTCCTCCACATTATTTCTTTTTTTTTTCAGCGCTCATGTACTTCTTTGTTATTATTATTGGCCTTTCTATGATGGAATAGGTTTTTTATGCAGTTTTATGTCATTTTGTTTATGGTGGTCTGTTGTAAAACCTTTCTATCTATGGTTCACTTGACTGATTGTTTTCTTTTTGCCCATTTGCATCATCAATGTGGTTTACTTGATTAGTCTTTCTTTGCGAGTGTTTTTTCCAGATTTTTAACTTACGCTTGGATCATTGGTGTAGGAATTCATGGGGAGAAACCTACTTGCAATGAATGTCATGTGGAAGTACATGGAGCAGGTAGCTATAATAATCTTTTCAACTTAGGAAGATAGGTTATCTGAGCATCATTTGATAAGGATACATTAGCATCTTAAATTTTAATGGAAAATTTGTTAATTGCAATTCATGCTTGTATGCCGGTGCTTACTCTTCTCTATTCATATAGATGATTAATTTTCCTCTTATCTACTTAGAGATCCTTTCCGTTAACTGAAGAGGAGTACATACTGAGGCTTGATGATATAGCGAATACTCTAAAATGCTGGGGTGCTGTCTCACATATCCGAAATAGTCTCGCCAAATTGAAAGAACGACCCCGAATAGGAAAAGTATTTATTTCTCATTTCTCTTGATGTTACCTCTGCCTAAATAATAAAAATTATAGTGAAATAAGCTTCTTTAGATTGATTTCAATGAAACATATTTCTGCATCACATCATGATCTGTTCTAAAATATAGTATTTCTTCTGTTATTTGACAAGGCTTCAGTTCCTTGCTATGATGCACTGACACGGACACGACACGAACACGAGACACGACATTTTTTAAAAATATAGGACACGGGTGTGGCGTGGACACGGCATAATAATTTTTTAATATAATATATAGAAATTAAGATGACATTATATTAAAAATGACAAGTAATAATAGATCAATTTCATGATAATTTGTTTAGCTTATAACATAAAGATGTTTAGTACAAAATGTCTAGTACAATCACAAAAATATAAGGAAAAAATCATTTAGTATAACATGAAGGTCCAACTACTCAATAGAGGGAATGATAGAATTAGATTCAGAGGTTGATCTTTGGCCTTCAATATCATCATCATTGAATATCATTGCTTCCAACTCTGGTTCATTTAGAGAATGATTTGTAACCTCCAATAATCCCATGTCATCAAGGAACTCGAACCCATCTCCAGCAACATCCCACATCTTATTATCACATGTCATATAAAGTGGGATTTCCTTGATAGATGACGAAGATTTATATTCCTCCTAAATCATAATGAATATTACATATTTGAATTACTATCCTTCAACATAGAAATTATAATTGATATGAAGTGAAATCAAAATATCTTAATAATAAGATAACATGAATACAACAATATACCTGTCTGTCGGGGGTCCAAGGGGGCGCTGCCCCCTGGCGGGGTTCGACCTGCCAGGGTAAGAGTAATTTTGAAGTTCTTCTTGTTTTTAAAGTTCGTAAGTTATTTGTATGGAAAGATATCGAGCGGTATCGAGCATGTACTAAGCGATACCGAGCATGTACCTAGCGGTACCGAGCTTGTACTTAGTGGTACGGAGCATGTACTGAGCTGTACCGAGCGATACCTAGCGGTACTGAGCATGTACATTAGCTTTTTTTGGTAAGTTTCAAAAAACAACAATTAATATTTCAGGCATCGAGAGTCAGGCGTCGATGTCATTTATCAGTCACCGAGAGAGGAGATGAAAATACCTTCATTGCCAAAAAGAGGGGTTCTTCATTTGAATCATCATTATGGTGAACTGCTCTCTCTCCTTCCTCCTCTCTTATAGAGTCCAATGTCAGACATTTACTTCAAGATTTATGTAAGTTTTAATATATATAGCGTGAGGCGTAAGCCTCATGCCAGTGAGGCGAGGCGGGCTTCAAGACGGGCCTCAACCAAGTTGAGGCGGAAGCCTTATAAAAAAAACTCGAGGCGTAAGCATCGAGGCGTTTTTTACTGGAATTGCGCAAAGGCGGGCCTCAAGGCGAGCCTCATATTGCGCAATTTTAAACCATGGTATTAAGTGCTGACGTTGGTTTGATGTTGCGGATAGGAAATAAGAAATTTAGTTTAAATCGCAAAATACAAGCAATTATATTTAAAAAAATTCATAAAATATTTAAGATACGCGTGTCAATTTGCATTTAATATTTTTTAATCGGACACATTTTCGGCGTGTCCGACACGTGTCGGAGGAGTGTCGGACGAGTGTCGTGTCGGACACGGTGTCGGACACTGCACGCCTCTTTGAGGAAAAGTGTCGGTGCATCATAGGTTCCTTGGTATAAACTAAGTGTCCCCAACCTTTCTTTCTCCCTTCAAGATTGATGAAAATGTTTTAGGGAAAAGTTTGATTGCAAACACCGCATGCATAAATTTAATTGAACTTTTCAAATTTGTTTCTGTATCTTCTAAATTGAGAGTGTGCCGCTACTGGAAATAGTTTTGTTATTCGTTATTTTTCTAGTTAATTTAAATACAATCCATAGCTATCAAAATCATGTTTTGAATTATTTCTATTTTTTAATATCTTTATTGCGGCTTCTTTTTTTTTTGTATTAGTTTTGAACAAATCTAACCATGTAAGCAGACCAAGAATTAAAATTATAGAATAGGAATCAAAACAAAGAAATAAATGGTCAAAATATCAAATTTTGGCCATACATCAGTATAAGGAGATGGCTTCCCTCGGAAGCTGGTACCAAATGCACTAGGTTTGAAGGAGCAATAAAACCAAACAACTACACATTATGCCAATAAAATCATGAACCTAAGCATAACAGAAGAGGAAACTGAAATTCAAAACATTAGAGTATATTAAATTCTTCTCTAAGACATTATCATAGGCATGACACAACTAAAACTTATATCTAAAATATCAGAAGACTATTAAAATAAAATAAAAACTTAGAATGTCAAATTTCTCATCTCAAAGCATACGTCTTGTTTTTCCAACAAGTATAAACTTTGTGATTTGCATCAACCCTGGTTGGCTTGGTAAAAGTTGGCTCTGACAAATTGAGCAATTGATACTTGCCAAGCAAATCTGGCATTTTTTAGAATAATCTTTGAATTATCACATGCATATTTGTTATGCCAATGCATACATAACTTTGATATCCTCCGTTTGTAGTGGACACAATCTGATCATTTATTATAGCTTTCGGAATAAGATGCATAGAATTATCTTGATAAGTGTTGAAAGTGACATCCCAATAAACAGATGGAAAAATAGAAGAATTTAAGGCATTTGTGGCATTCTCATAAATAAAGATTAATCAAACATATTGAAGTCTATTTTTAAAATTTCGCGAAAAGTCCAATTTATATGCATTTGTTTCACAGAGTTGCAAGTTTTTATTTGGTCCTTTCTTGCAATTAATTACTTAATGTCACTCATGATTTAGATTAACCATTATCTTATCACTTTGTTTAAATGTCATACATATATTCTATTCACATTAGTTGTAGAATTTTACTATTCCTATTTGTTTGATTGGCTATCTTTTTTAGGAAACAATTTGATTTATTTCATAAAGTTTTTTTAGTATTTTTGAAAGCAATTTGATTTATTTCAAAAAATAAAAAATAAAAATAAAAATAGATAAAAACACAAACCAAACATGCTTTTAAAATGCAAAAAATAAAACACAAATAAAAGCTTAGGTTTTGTATTTTTTTAGTGCAACTATATGATGTAATGAATAAATTCATGCACCCACCCAAACTCTACTAGGATTGGTTCTACAACCATATCTTAAAGAATTATAGAAATTTCCATAATGATATCGCAACCACCTAATACATTAAGCCAGTTATAGCATTGCGTCCTTAGGGAACGAAAATCTTAAACCAGCCAAGCCGCAAGAAGCAATATTGTGCCATCCAAGGAATCAACGATTCTGAAGGAATGCAACTCATGCTAATTAGGGAACGACAATCTTAAACCAGCCAAGTCGCAAGAAGCAATCTTGTAGGAACCTTACCATAAGTAGTAGAACCAATGAACTACGGAGTGAAACAAACCAGACTAATAAAGCAAACAGAAATGCAAAACATTAAAGGACACAATTTCTTCTTTCCAGCATCATAATGTGCATGACAAAACTTAAACTTAAATTTAAAAATTTAGAAAACTATTAAAATATAATCAACTGAATAAAAGTAAAATTCAGGTGGTCAAATTGGTTATATCAATGCAATCATCTTTTGTTCCTAATGAGTATGAACCTTGAGATTTACATCAAATCCTAAGTTGGCTAAAAGCTTATAACTGCATGTGAGAATGATCTTTGGTTGTTCATCCTTTAGGAATTCTGCACAGCCTATGAAATGCCCTTGAGGCAAAATTTAAAGGTTAGTATGCCTTTGAAAAATCTTAATGTTCCATTTTTATCGAGGCAAAGGTGACCACCGTGGGATAGATGAAATGGTGATTGTGGATGGTAGGTCAAACCTATGTAATTGGCCTTTTTCTGTATGAGACAATTTCTTTTAATCTGGTGTGATTATAGGATTCAAGAAAGCTCTATCTTAAGCTATCTGTTGATTTTGTATTGTCATGGTATTTTTAAGCTGCGAATTGCCCTTCCTATTGATTGTCAAACACTTCCTATTGATCCCTTGTATCCATACAACATGAGAGATTACTAATTTTCTCTTTATTTTCCTTCGGCTTTCTCATAATGCTTCTCTTCTGTGCTGTGCAGGCGGTTAGCATTTTCATAGATATGGATGAGAGTGGAGGGCGGTCCAATGAGTGGATTTACAAATAGTTATAAGAATTCATTATTCTGATACCATTGGGGCAATTCTCCCACGAGTGCAGTATGTTTATACATATATGTATATATTGATCCTCCGGATGTTCATCATTTCAACAATTGTATGACGATTTCCTATTCCCTGCAAGGCCGCATACAAGAAACTCTCGTTTAAATGCTTCTCATATTCATCAATAATAATTCAGTATATTGGAGATTGATCAACTGATTTTATGATTAATTCAATTTGGTTTGTGATAGTAATTCAGATGTTCTTTTTTAAGGAACAAAATGGGTATTAAAATACTCATTTGAGTATGAATGGTAGAGAAAATATATACTAATATACACCTTTTTATTGAGCATGAAGCACGTGGGTAGAAATAAAGATGGTTGGTTGTGTTAAGGGTATATGAGGAAGCAGTATTTTTATGCTTCACAAAAATCGAAGTAAAACTCATTCGTTCAGCTAAAGATGAATGAAAATATGTTCTGAGGCGGAATGTTGGCGGTGACTTGCGTTTTAACGAACCAGGGAACGTGGGTGATTTTCCTCTGCTAATCATGTGATAATGTCTGTTGCATAAATGAGGTTTCATTTGATATAGTTTTTTTTTAATGTATTTTAAAGTATTTTTTAAAATAAAAATAAGTTCAAAAAAATCATTAAAAAGTTATTTTAAAAAATATTAATAAAGTAATCTAGAATGAAATATAAGTTATCTCATACTAAATCTAAGTTATATGGCTAATTGATTTCTTTGTCTTTTTTGTTGTCTTATAATATTCATGGCGTTTGAGAGATAAATATCATAGTGTCCTAATTTTAAAAGAAGATCTAGCACAAATATAAATAAAGAGGGGTGCAAGAGTTCTAAGAGATCAATATTTTTATGTAAAAAATCCTAAATAAGAAAAAAAAAATTATGGGATTTGACCCAAGTAAAATGATTTAACTTGTATTTATTATTGATTATAAATGATATGTTTCTATTGGGGAAGATGTTGGCTCAATGTAAATTATATATAGTGAAGTTGGAAGAATTTAATGATATGAAAGCTATTTATAAGAGAATGTTTGCTTGTTTGTTCGGTTGATAGGATTGAAGTCGGGTGACTTTGGTCGGAGGAACAGTAGTTTGCGAGCAACCGAGATCTGAGGGATCATAGTTGGCAGGAGACAGTGGTAGGAGGAAACTTTAGTCGGGCGGGTGATGATGGTTGTTTGAAACGGGGGGGGGGGGGGGGGGGGAATAGTAGTTGGCGACAACAGAGGTAAAGGACCGTACAGCAAGCAATGATGATCCAAGGGGCAATAGGCGGCGGGCAACGATGGTCGGAGGTGTCACATTTCATTTTGACGCCCTTACAGTCAACCTGAAGTCTAAAAGAGAGGGAGAATCTTGAGAGACATATTTCTTACTTACACTCATTCTGAAATGCTTCTATTAGAATCAAGTGAGCAGCAAATAACCTATTTAAACTAACCCATAACTATTCCCTTTTTAATTTAAACAATTCTTTTATCAATTTTTTTTTTCATTTAGAACCATATACATTATATCAAAGAAATATATAGATTTTTTAAACTTTATAATAACATTTACGTACCAAAAATTGTATGTGTAGTTTCTACTATGATCTTTATGTACACTCAAAATATATTTACACAAAATTAGTAGTCAACTGTCCTATCTAATGTCATTAACTCCTTCCCCTTTCTTGTAGTATAACAATTGCTAATGAGCTAGAGCTCAATGAAATATATAAGCAATGTATAAAAAATAATAATATGTTTGTAATCGATTGAGAAGATGGAAATTCTATAATAACATAAAATATATAAAAAACATAATTCATGTTCTGTTTACTACTCAATACATTTAGTTAAGTCATATAATGATTATTGGCTTTAGCACACTCACAGCACTCTAAATCAAGTTGATTCTTTAGATTTGAGCGTGCTCTCTCATTTAAGGTTGGTTCTAATTTTTTAACTTTTAGAATTGAGAGAGTATAGGCTTAGTTCATCAAGTCTTTCGTCTTTACTTGTGTCGGTTTATCCGCCATATATGAATGATCTCATTAACCTTTTTAATCACCCTTTTTATTAAGCCTCACATTTTCATAACATATCATATATATCTAGTCATTCAGCTAATGATGAACTCAAGAGAAACAATATACATGATGAAGCTGAAAATCATACCATCACAATCATATAAAAATGTGAGATTTCAATTATATAAAATTTTACTATTTTATATGGCATAATTTGGGTATCTCACTTTGTTAGGAATTAGTTCTCCTAGATATTGCCTTACTTTCCTTTTTTAAACAACTTTCACCAAACTTCTCTGTATTCAATCCACTCTTTCTCTTATATCTTTTTCCTCTTCACCCCTTTTCCTCCTACATTTAGCAAGATTTCACAACCTAAACCTTTATTTCAGCAATACTACCAGGCACCATTACTAAATTTCAATAAATGGAAATACCCTTACCGGATTTTAGCTTTTCAACTCATTTTCTTTGAAAATTTCAACAATAAAAGTGATTTTTTTCTTTTTTCAAATGGAATCCAGCAAACATAAATTTCAATTCAGTTATTCCTCACTGAAATATAGCAATTTAGCAAACCCTCACTGATGGCAAATGGAAAACCATGATTTCCACATGATATATTTTTTCTTACCTGATTTTAGAAAACAACTACAACAACATCTCATTGAATATCTCCTTCCAACAGCCCACCACAACCCACTCACTCCTGGCACAACTCATGGTATCTGTTTGAACTCCACAGAACAAGTGATGGGAGTGGAGGGATGGAATGAAATATTTAAAGGATTATCCTTTTGAATATAATACTTTACAATTCTTTCCACTAATCCGTCCCATTCAATGGCAACCATTGGATGGAAATCAGCTGAATATGATACTTTACAATGCATTCCGCTAATCCTTTCCTCTCAATGACAACAGTTGGATGAAAATCAGCCAATGCATGGCTCGTTAATAGAGGGGTAGAGATTTTTTAGTGGAGATGCTATAATAATTGAAATATTTGCTGCTATAATTCACCCCTCCTTATAGACATTTCATCCTCAAAATTCTTTAGCTTAGTGACCATCAAACAATTGAGGGAATGTTAATCAAATGTCATATTCCTTCTCTTGTTGCCTCTTTTTCTAGTCTATATTTCCATTTCACTTTAGCATAATATATTTGATGATTTTTGAGCTATTGAGTATCAATATCTAGTATTCTTTTTTGTTTCTCAATGTAAGTCAGATTCTTTTGCTAAACTTTTTAATGAAGAGTGTGAAAATAAGATTGACTATAGTGACCTTAGCACCCTAAATGAAAGTAAAGATTTCTGTTTTTATCGGCGTATTAGTAAAACTGAAGTTAGAGAGGCTTTAAATAGAATGAAGGGTGGAAAAGCTGTTGGACCTGATGATATTCCAATAGAGGTGTGGAAATGCTTAGGAGATGAAGGGATTTCTTGGCTTACTAAACTTTTTAATACTATTTTGAAGACTAAAAAGATGCCAGATGAGTGGAGAATGAGTGTATTAATTCCTATTTTTAAGAATAAAGGCGATGCACAGGATTGCACGAATTATTTTAGTCTTGGATGTTCTCACTAGACATTTGCAAGATGATGTACCTTGGTGTATGCTTTTTGCTGATGATATTCTTCTTGTTGATAAGACTAGAGAGGGAGTTGAAGGTAAACTTGAATTATGGAGGTCAACCTTAGAGTCTAAAGGTTTTCGCTTGAGTAGATCTAAAACGGAATATATGGAGTGTAATTTTAGTAGTAATAGTCCTAGTGAGGGGATTGTGACTTTGGGCGATCAAGTCATTAATAAGAGTACACGTTTTAGATATCTTGGATCTATTGTTCAGAGTGATGGTGAAATAGATGGGGATATTATCAGCAGAATTCAAGTTGGATGGTTGAAGTGGCGGAATGCATCGGGCTTGTTATGTGATAGAAATGTACCCCTCAAACTTAAGGGAAAATTCTATAAGATGGTAGTGAGGCTTGCAATGCTTTATGGTGCCGAATGTTGGCCTTTAAAAGAGAAGCATAATACTAAGTTAAGTGTGGCAGAGATGAGGATGCTCAGGTGGATGAGTGGCTTTACCCTTAGAGATAGGATACAAAATGAGCATATACGTGAAAAGGTTGGAGTAGCTTCAGTAGAAGATAAGATTAGAGAGAGTCGCCTTAGATGGTTTGGTCACATAAAAAGGCGGCCTTCCGACGACCCGGTTAGGAGAGTAGAGGTATTAGATTTGACTTGTGTTAAGAAAGGTAGGGGTAGACCTAAAAAGACTTGGTTAGAAATTATTAGGAATGACCTTTCTTTATTAGATTTAAACGAGAATTTGGCTTTTAATAGGACACAATGGAGAAAAAAGATTCATGTAGCCGACCCCACGTAGTGGGATAAAGGCTTGATGTTGTTGTTGTTGTAAGTCATATTCTTCTATAGATATTTTCTTCACGTGAAATTCTTTGATGGACACTAGTAACCCACTTTCTTAGTAGTGCCTCATGAAAAATATTATGGATATCTAACTTGTCAGTTGGAAGAGTAAGCTTGTAAGCATCTTTCGTAATCAATTCAATAATTTCAAAAGATCCTACATATCTAGTCTTCAATTTACCTCCTTGCCCAAATCTGGTTTTAACATTCACAGGTTTAACCTTCAGAAATACAAAGTCTCCAATTTTAAAATCTACTGCTTTGGGCTTGTGGTCATAATACTTTTGCTGGAGATCTTGAGCAGCTTTTAATCTGTCTCTGATTAGTATGATTTTTTCTGTTGCTTCATCAACTAGCTTTGGATCCATTATATGTGTTTCTCCAATGTTAAAAGTCATGGGAGTTATGTACTTTCTTCTATAAAGGGCTTCATATGGAATCATTTCTTTACTTAATTGGTAGCTATTACTGTAAGGAATTTCTATCAATAGTATGTGATCTTCCTAGCTATCTCCAAGATCCAAAACATATAATCTTAACAAATTTTCCAGTGCCTAAATCATTCTTCATATTGACCATCAGTCTTAGAATGAAAATCTGTACTGAAGTGAAAATTCATGCCAAAGCTTTCATGAATACGTTTTTCATAGCCCAGAAGTGATTTTACCATCTGTATCTAAAACAACAACATTTGGAATGCCATGCAATCTAATAATCTCTATCATATACAAACGTGCAA